GTTCAAGAATACTTACCAACAGTCACTCAACCATTTAAAAAATCTTTGAAAATTACCATCCAATGACATTTATTTAATATTTTTCTTGCCTCAATGTCCGTCTTCTGACATTGTGCTAAAATCATCCATACATTCCGTACATACCAGTACCATATTTGTACTCACAAAGTAGAAATATGTGCTGTAAGGCACAATTATTASCTCTACAGGGGTACGAAGGTCCAGGATGTACCTCAGGGGACAGAAATGTACTCCTCCTGTACCCTTTGTTTTGAGAGTGTAGGACCAGTGGTGCATTCAGGAACCCACTCTGGAAGGTCCAGAAATGATTGGTTCCTTTTAAATCCTCTAAAACATAAAAAGCCATAAACTGATGTTGGTTTGTAAATCTTCTGGGTCGTAGTTCTCAGCTGCTGGTCTGTGGATCAGAACCCCAGAACCTGGACCGTTTGGGACCCACTGGATTAAAAACAGTCTGGGTTCCTGGAAAGCAGACATGAAGGGTTGAGAGTTTCTTTAGAAAGATAAGAGACTGAAACAAAAGGTTTAAAGACAGAACCTGTGCAGCAGGTAGAAAGGTCAAAGACAGGACTTTAGGTTAAAGTTTAAAGATTTAAATCTGAGTTTGATGATGACAAAAGACAGTGGCGTCACTAGGCCTATTTTAGGGGGGCTGGAGCCCCCTTAAAATATTTTAAAGCCCCCCTGAATTTTTTGGTGAAAAACATTTTTCTAAATTTAATTAAATTTTTTTTGCAAAAATTCAATATGATGTGGTCAGCGTAAGTAYATATTTAGCATGCATGTAAATATATATATATGTAAACACAAAATACAAATATATAATATACAAAAATTCTGTGCGTTTCCTGGGGGCTGAGTCCCCCTTGTCCTTAAAACCTAGTGACACCCCTGACAAAAGTTATCTGGAGTTTTAAATATTCATTTTACAGAAACATTGTTTCAATTGACTGTTAAATGTGACTCAGGTGTGTTTGAAAGTGTTAATCTCTGTGATGACACAAGTCCTGATGTTTAATCTGATGAAAAGCAGAACATTCCTGACTCATCCTTTGTTGTTTTAGAAGCAGATTTTCATCATTTTTGCGCATCAAACCACATCATCAGGTTTGACCCAACCCTCGTCCCCTGTCCACAAAACCCAGAAACCTGAAGGCTTTGTCTTTAATTATAGGAGGAGGAGGAGGAGCAGGAAGAACCAGTGCTTCCAGTCACCTGTCAGGTGATGCTCYGCCACATTTTTTACCTTCATTCAGGAGAGGAGCCTTCAGAGCAGCTGTGAGACGACCAGCGTCCAACAACAGGTCCTGTCTGAGACACACACAGGTGAGACGTCCTCTGAGGGATGTTAGTCYTTAAATACAGCCTGGGGAAATACTCATTTACAGTTACAAGAGTTCCCTGAGGGTTTTTAAATTGGTGTGGTAAATTTGAGTCCTCAGATCTGATCAGTTATTATTGTTATTAAAATTTGTCTTTTTTATTTAAATGATTTTAAATGTGTTTGATGCTCCTGACAGGTATTTCAGCATCAACTGGATTTAGTTTTGTAAAAGCAAGTAATATGCAAAGTCAGATTTTTAGGATTATGTAACAATCAGCATCACCTCATTTAATTATCAGGTAGAAAAAGGAAGTGATTTAATATGAGTTGTTTTGTTTGTTTCCTTTTTAATTTGAGACCTAAAATTTAATCATTTGATGGGAAACGTTTCATTAAATTTGTCTTTTTTAAAATTTAAATGTATTTGTGTTGTTTCAGCAGAAACTGGATTTTTTTTGTCAAAGCAACTAGTATACATAAATACACAAAATAAATTTTTTTTCTCAGACATTCAGGACAGTAAATCTGATTCACAAAATAAACAGAGTCAGATTTTTAGTTTTAATTTGAAATTAGACAGGATTATGTAACGTTCAGCTTCACCTGGACTCATTCAATCATCAGGTAGAAAAAGGAAGTGAAACTAAATGTTTAAACTGTTTTTTTTTCAGGTTTCTGATGGTTTTTTGTTGTTTTCAGGCTCCATCATGGCGCACAGAATGACGGTGACACAGCCTCAGCCGGTGATGGAGGTCCGCTCCTCTCAGGAGTGGAGCTCAGGAATCTGTGACTGCTGCAGTGATCTACGGTCATGTGGGTGTTTCAGCTTCCACACAGGGGCGCCTTCACCTGTTTAAATGAGGGGGGCCATGAGGGGGGCCACAGAAAAAACTGACCTGGAACCAAACTGAACCAAAACCAGAGTTTTAGAAATGTTGTAAAACAGCAACTTGAAAACTTTTGTAAAATTACAGATGAACATTCATTCCTTCTGGTTTGACTGAGATCCCAGACTCATGCACAACATATAGCTTTAAATGGAGGTGTGTCTTATTTAAATGGAGGCGTGTCTTATTTAAATGGAGGTGAGTCTTATTTAAATGGAGGTGTGTCTTATTTAAATGGAGGTGTGTCTTATTTAAATGGAGGTGAGTCTTATTTAAATGGAGGTGTGTCTTATTTAAATGGAGGCGTGTCATATTTAAATGGATGCGTGTCTTATTTAAATGGAGGCGTGTCATATTTAAATGGAGGCGTGTCATATTTAAATGAGGGCTGGTCATATTTTAATGGGGGCGTGTCATATTTAAATGGAGGCATGTCATATTTTAATGGGGGCGTGTCATATTTAAATGGAGGCATGTCATATTTTAATGGGGGCGTGTCTTATTTAAATGGAGGCGTGTCTTGTTTAAATGGAGGCGTGTCATGTTTAAATGGAGGCGTGTCTTATTTAAATGTAGGCCTGCCATATTTAAAAAGGGGCATGTCATATTTAAATGGGGGCGTGTCAGGGGGAGGAGTCACACATTGATTGTAGAGAATATTTTCACATGCAGAACATTTTGTACAAATAGTTTGTTTTTCTTTCATTTGGAAAGTGTTTGTTACAYGAGGCTCCTGAACGATAAAAAACTGTAAAAACTCTGATCTTTAAATTTTTTTAGTTGCATGTGTGGTTTAAAGGTTTAATGAAAGTCAAAGGAACAGTGGACTTTAGTTATATTTTTATTAAACCTGATTAATCATCAGCTCAGTTTAATTAGAGATAAGGTTAATATAATCTACAGCTCAGAGCTGAAATTAGACTTTATTTGTTGGAACAAGGATGTCTGGAAACACAATTAAAGTATTTTTATGAACAAATATTCATTAATCACCTTCAGGAGACAGATTTTTGAGGTGAACACAACAAAGCAACATTTTTTCCATCTCACTGTCAAAGAAACACGGTGACGTCTGATCTGAGGCTTCCTCATATTTTCTTTTGTCTCGAGGGTTTGTATTGTGTTTGTGCTGAACACGAACTCTTCCTGTGGTTCTTCTGAAGGTTGTTTTGCCTTTTGGTGCTGCCCCTGCTTCGCCTGTCAGACCTCCAAAAGGTTCGGGGAACACCTCTGCGCCCCTCTGCTGGAGATCTTTGGATTCTGTGTCCCACCAATCACCATGTCCATGAGGGTCGCCATGAGACACCGCTACGGCATCAAAGTACGACAAAAACTAGTCACAGAAATTTGTTTTTATTCYCAGTTTCTTCTGTTTGTTTGGAGTTTGGTGTCAAGAAACTYYACAAACAATCTGATGATTAAATGTGTGTAGGGCACGCTTCCTGTGGACTGTGCTTACGCCACCTTCTGCACCRTCTGCACCTGGTGCCAGATGTCCAGGGAGATGGACAAGAGGAACATCCAGATCGTCCTGGTCAACGCCAAAAACACATGATGCATCTGTCACAGCTGTGAACCTGAGCAGAACGTGCAGCTGTCAGGATAAATGGGTTGAGTTTGAAAGTATGAAACACTCCTGAAACACAAGGGAGTGTTGATTTGAACAAAAAACAATGAAGAATATTTTATATCATGAGATTTATATAAATATATCAGAGTAACTCTCAATTTATTATTTGATGTATAATAAATCAAACACAACACACTGATTGTTGCTACTTTTAAATATTTACATTGAAAGTAGAGTAAATACTGAGTTATATATAATTTAGCTTAAAAAACAAAAGTTTAAATCAGTTTTATTTTAATTTCTTTACTCTGTTCTCACAGGAACTCAGTCAATAATTTATTCATGTGTGTAAAACCTGTAAAACAGGACTGAGCCAGCAGAGGGCGACAGAGGCTTCACAATAAGTTTAGAGTTCACAGAGGACATGTCCAACATGTCCAACATGTCCAACATGTCCAACATGTCCAACATGGAGGCAGGTATTCTGTCTTCAGTCCAACATGTCCAACATGTCCAACATGTCCAACAGGACATGTCCTGCTCCACCCACCCATACAGGAAGACCACCAAATAATAATCAACAATTAAAAGGTTTTATTTCCTGAGTGAATATTGAGTGTTTATAACTTTTCACATTCTCTAATTTCACCCATTTAGCTTCAAAGCTTTCGGCTCATTTAGGACTAATGTGCTGTAATCAGCTAAAAATGTAATTATTTAACGTTCTCTCAATAAAAACATTGAGATTTATACAAATTCTTTGTCAAATCTGCTCATTTTCAGCTATTGTTTTAGCTTTTTGCTGCTGTTCATCTAGTTTCACTGCTTAACTTATGTTTGGATATTTTTAGCCATTAGACTTGTTGTCTGTTTTAGCTTTTAGCTCTTACTAATTTAAGCTTATAGCTGCAGTTTGATAGTTTTAGCTCATGTGTTAATTTAGTTTTTTAGGTTTTAGCTCCAAATCTTCTTCATATCAGCTTTTACATTTAGCTGATTTTAGCTTTTAGCTACTGTTTGATAGTTTTAGCACAGCTGACAATGTTTTTTTTTAATTTTTAAATGCAGATCTATTAATAGCAGCATTTAGCCTTTGCTAACTTTAGCTTTTAGGYATGGTTTGATAGTTTAGCACTGTTTTTAAGCTATAGCTACATATCTTTTATATCAGCTTTYACCTTTTGCTAATTTTAGCTCTTAGCAGTGTTTGAAGTTTTAGCTACAGATTTTCACTTAACAGCATTTAGCCTTTAATAACTTTAGCCTTTAGGTACTGTTTGATAGTTTTGGCGAAGCTGTCATTTACGTTTTTTTAAGTTTTATCTACAGGTCATGTAATATCAGCTTTTAGTGTTTGCTAATTTTAGCTTTTAGCTGTGGTTTGATAGTTTTAGAATGGCTGTTTTTTTCAAGTTTTTTCTACAGATCTTCTAATATCAGCTTTAAGCTTTTGATAATTTTAGCTCTTTGCAGTGTTTGAAGTTTTAGCTGCAGATTTTCACATAACAGCATTTAGCCTTTGCTAACTTTAGCTTTTAGCTGTGGTTTGATAGTTTTAGCATGGCTGTTTTTTTCCCAAGTATTTTCTACAGATCTTTAGTTTTAGATAATTTTAGCTTTTAGCTCTTGTGCTAATTTCAGGTTTTGTGTTTCAGTTTTAGCTGAACTGACTTCACAGAGCTAAAGGTAGCTAAAGGTAGCTAAAGGTAGCTAAAGGTAGCTAAAGGTAGCTGTGGTGTGAGAACTTTATCCGTACGATGTGATTGGTCAAAGCTCGTCTCATCGAAGCTCTGCACTGCAGGACGACAGCTAACCTGAGTTTCTGAGTTTGGATTTGAAGCGTTTCTGGCTGTATTTAGTCAAATTGGTCCCAGTAAAGGTCCTGACTGGTCGTGGCGGTTCTGTGCTGGAGTGGAACCCTTGGCTCTGGTGTGGGATGTGAATTGCTCAGTGGGCTGGTTTTAATGGGATTATAATGACAGTTATGGTTGGGCAGAATTGATGTTTGTGACTTTTATGAGGTGTGGTTGAGGGGGCGGAGCCAGGCGGCTCATAAAGCCTGCAGGAATGTTAATTGG